GATTCTCTTGCCTCAGCCTCCCGAGTAGCTGGGACTACAGTCACTCGCCACAATGCCTGGCTATATTTTTGTTGCAGTTTGGCCAGGGCTGGATTTGAATCCGCTATCCTTGGTATATGGAGCCAGTGCCCTACTCACTGATACACAGGCACTGCCCATTTTAAGCATTTTTTCATATCTCTATTGTTTATTTATATGTCTTCTTTTGAGAAATGGCTATTCAGGTCTTTTGCCCTTTTTTTTTTTTTTTTGAGACGGAGTCTCAAGCTGTCACCCTGGGTAGAGTGCCCTGGCATCATAGCTCACAGCAACCTCCAACTCCATCTCAAGTGATCCTCTTGCCTCAGTTTTTCTGTTTTTTAGTAGAGACGAGATCTCGCTTTTGCTCAGGCTGTGAGCTCAAGCAATCCACCCACTTCAGCCTCACAGAGTGCTAGGATTACAGGTGTGACCCACCGCGCCTGACCAAGTTTCAATATGTTAAGAAGGAACATTCTTTTCATTTTTTGTTTTCTACTATATAATCTTCCTTTCTCCTGAAGCCCTTTCTAGTGAGGATATTACTATGGCTTTCACCCAGAGATTAAAAATTCTTTCTTCAAGTGCTTTACACTTTGCATATATGTCTTCATATGTATGTCTGATGCTTACCTAAAAATGGATGCTAGTTCTCTCTCAATAAATTATTCTTTATGTTCCTTTTAAGGTAATAGAACATGAGCATCCAGTAAATAAGATTTCTTTCATTGCCCGTGATGTGACGGACAACCGGGCATTTGGCTACGTGTGTGGAGGAGAAGGCCAGCATCAGTTTTTTGCCATAAAAACAGGGCAGCAGGTGAGCTGTAAGCCTTGAGGTGTGCCTGCAGACTTGTCCTCTGTTGAGCACAGAAGTATCTGTATCACAACTAGAAAACTTGCTGGACACAATTGGATGTAAGAAGGCTAAATAATGATTCAAAGACTAACCATTTCTGTTGGCCTAAGGAATCTTTGTAAAATGTCATTGATACCCATGTAGTATGTGAAACAAGGATTGAGAAAGGACTTACTTATCATGCTAATTTTAGGATAAGAGTAAATTACTCCCAGAAACCTTAAAGGAACTTCCAAAAATAATCATGCCACCTCTTGTTTGGGGTAAATACTTATTAATCTGCTGTCCTTATGTACCTGAGGGTGGGGACTGGGGCAGTGGTCGTCTCCTAGAAGCTAGGGAGAGTAATAAGGAGCTTTAAAAGAATGTTAATAAAAAGAACCAATATTAATCTGAACTGTTGGGAACAAAAGGAAGAAAATAATAAGATTAAAATGCTGATGACAATGCTTTCTGTTGCTTCAGGCTGAGCCCTTAGTTGTTGATCTTAAAGACCTTTTCCAAGTTATCTATAATGTAAAGAAAAAGGAAGAAGAAAAGAAAAAGGTAAGTACTACCTAATAAAGACTCTATTAAAACTTAAAACTGAAACTGTATTCAGGACCAGGTTTAATGTTATGTATGCATATGACCTGTCTAAAGAGCTGGCTTTCTATACTTTTTTTTAAAATTTCAGATTAATATGATGGAGCACATGATTATGTAACAAATATAAACAATGTAACCTAGAGTCCAAAGTTGCAGGAGGTATGTCACATACTGTTAGGTGAGAGCACACCATTCCGCCTCACCTCCCCTCTACCCACTTCCTCTTCTCCCTCCCTCCTCCCCCCTTGAGCTTAACTGTGCTTTTTCTCTTGTGTGGACATATATTTGTTCATCTGCTGGTTTCATATTGGCATTGAGTACACTGTATACTTGATTTTCCATTCTTGTGATACTTTCCTAAGTAGAACATTCTCCAACTCCATCCAGGTTAATACAAAAGAAGTGAAGTCTCCATCTTCTTTATGACTGAGTAGTACTTAATATACCACAGTTTATTAATCCACTCATGTGTTAATGGGCACTTGGATTGATTCCATATCTTGGTGATTATGCATTGAGCTGTGATAAACATTCTGGTGCATATGTCCTTATTGGAAAATGACTTTTGTTCTTCTGGATAGATACCTAGCAATGGGATTGCAGGATCAAATGAAAGGTCTACTTTTGGTTCTTTGAGGCTTCTCCATACTTCTTTCCAAGGACGTTGTATTAGTCTGAAATCCTACCGAAAGAGTAAAAGTATTTCCTTTTCTACATACCGTTGCTAGCATCTGTAGCTTTGGGACTTTGTGATGTGGGCTATTCTAACTGGGTTTAGGTGATATCTCACAGTGATTTTTGTATTTGTATTTCTTTGCATTTCTCTGATAATTAGGGATGATTAGCATTTTTTTCATGTGTTTATTGGCCATTCGTCTGACTTCTTTGGAGAAGGTTCTGTTCATATCTCTTGAACAGTGGTAAGTGGGATTTTTTTCCTTCTTTTGTTGATTAATTTGAGTCCTCTCTAGATTCTACTTATCAACTCCTTGTCAGATTTGCTTTTTTAGTGTTTTTTGTTTGTTTGTTTGTTTTTTGAGACAGAGTCTCACTATGTTACCCTCAGTAGAGTTCCGTGGTGTCACAGCTCACAGAAATCTCCAACTCTTAGGTTTAAGCGATTCTCTGGCCTCAGTCTCCCAAGTAGCTAGGACTACAGGTGCCCGCCACAACTCCCAGCTGTTTTTTGGTTGTAGTTGTCATTGTTTTTTAGTAGACCCAGACCAGGTTGGAACCCACCAGCCTTGGTGTATGTGGCCAGCACCCTAACCACTGATGAGCACCAAGGCTATTTTTTATCTTTTTGAAGAACCAACTTTTTGTTTCATTAATTTTCTAAATGATTCTTTTGTTTCAATTTCATTTATTTCTGATGTAATATTGTTATTTCTTCTGTTAGGTTTAGGATTTGATTGGTCTTCCTTTTCCAGTTCCTTGAAGTCAATCTTTATGTTGTTGATGTGCCCTCTTTCTGTTTTTAAATGTGGATATCTAATGCAATAAATTTTTCTCTTAGGAGGGCTTTTGTAGTATCCCTCAGGTATTGACAGCTTGTGTCTTCATTGCCATTATATTGGAGGAATCTAGTGATTTCCTTCCTTATCTCCTTCTTGATCCACTTGTTGTTCAGCATGAGGTAAAGTTTCCATGACTTGATGTGGGGATGAAGGTGTTTGTTGGAGTTGGGTTTTACCTTTCTTCCCTTTTGGTCTGAAAAGATACAAAAGCATAATTTCTATTCTTTTAATTTTGTTGATTTGATTTATATCCTAGAATATGGTCAGTTTCAAGGATGATCTAGGAGCCGGCGAGAAGAATGTTTGCTCAATAGTTTTGAGGTGGTTATGTTCTGTATATGTCCATTAAGCCTAATTAAAACAAGGGTCATGTTTAAGTCCCGTGTTACTTGGTTTAGTTTCTGTTTAGAGGAGCTGTCCAATTCTGTCAGTGTTGAAGTCCCCAGTATCATGATATTACAGGATATCATATTGTTCAGACCGATTAGGGTTCATTTTATAAATCTGAGAGTATTTAAGTTGGGTGCATATGTAAGAAGAATTAAAATGTCTTCTTGTTGTATTCTTCTTTTGATCAATATATATAATTTCCATGTTTGTCTATTTTTTTTTTTTACTTTTGTTGCTTTAAATCCATTTGTATCTGAAAATAAGATTGTGACTCCTTCTTTCTTCTGATTTCCATTTGCCTGGTGCTTTTTTATCTAGGCAGCCAGCCTGTGTCTCTTCAGTGGGGAATTCAAGCCATTCACACTTAT